CCACAAGAATAAAGTTATCGCCAACTTGCGTAACAATCGATTGACGAGATCCTCTTTCGCATTGCGAAGCAAAAGAAAGTTGTCACCATCGATCGTAGCTGGCGATCAACTGGATTTTCTTTAATGCTGTGACGTGAAGGAAAATCGTCCCCATTAAGTGTAGCTGACGATCAACGAGAACTTTTTTCTCTGTTAAGGTATAAAAGGAAATCATCCTCAAGCTGCATAGCATACGACCAACAAATCTTCTTTCTTGAAGAAGATGTAGAGCAAAGTCATTCTTGTCAACGAGATTCTTTTTTATGCGTTGAGATAAATAAAGTTATCATTGTCTCTACCCAACAGGTGGCTCGGGATCTTCTTACTTATTGTTGTTGAGTATTCTGAATGAGATGAAGAAAAGCTGAAGTTTTCCCACCTCATTTGATGGGGATATTTTCATGCTTCTATGGTGGTGATATATTGGAGAACCCATGAAAAAAATAGAAGTAGTTGAATTTTGGGGATGTAATTCTAACTCCACTCAAAAATGAGCTTATTTGTTATAGTCCTTGTACAAATATTTATAGTCAGTCAATTGTCTGATGTGACATTTATCCATAGTGATGATGTGTATGTCTGTATATTTTTCTCCAACTCGATGCAATTAAAATTTGGTCGTTGCTTCAGAGGTTATTTTTGTCTCACTTATAGGGTGTTGTTACCCAATTTATGGGTTGTCACTTTCCCACTTTGAGGTATTTTTTATGCTAACTGTTTTTGAGGCTTATGTCTTTTGAGGTTTTGTGGCTTCTTGATTATGCATAAGTCAGCAGTCAAATTTAGCATGTGCATTTCATGTTAAAAGGAATCACATACCTTTTGAGGCTAGTGCCTTCTGAGATTTAGCTTTCTTAGGTATGCATCTCTTAAGGCTTCTACCTTCTTAGGCTTATATCTTATAAGCGCTTGAAATGAACTGATGTCTTTCGAGGCTCGTAAACTTCTGAGGCTTGTAGCATTATGAGGTTATTGATGTACATGTATTTATTGAGGCTTGTAGCCTTTTGAAGTTTTTGAAGTACATGTGCTTTCAAAGACTTGTAGCCTTTTGAGGTGTTTAAGTGGAGACACTGCCAACCACTTGCTATGTTGAAGTCTTTCTAATAAGGACCCTATTCACTACTAGCTTCCCATTAAGAATTGTCTCTTGCGCTCGTCTTTCAGGGGCATGATAACTTCCTATTGAGTCTTATCTTTTAGGCTTGACTTATAAGGTTATTTTATCTTTCCATCGGGTCTTGCCTTTTTGGTTCAACTTCAATGAGTAACATATCTTACAGTCGAGTATTATCTCTTGCGTTTGACTTCCGGTGGCATGGTAGTTTCCTATCGAGTCTTGCCTTTTGGGATTGACTTCCAGGGGCACCATATCTTCTCATCGCTTATTGCCTCTTGAGTTTGACTTGAAGGAGTACCGTATCTTCCCGTCAAGTCTTACCTCTTGAGCTCGACTTCCAAGGGAATGGTAACTTTCTATTGTGTATTGCCTCTTAAGCTCGACTTTCAGGGGTATTGTATCTTCCCATCAAGTCTTTTATATTTGTTTCAACTTTTAGAAGTACAAATTGAGACATTCTCTACCATTGTGAATGTTTGACTTTTCTTAGGTTGTTAGTCGAAGTGCGTCTGTCTTTTGACTGTTGCCTGCGTTGGAGCAAACTTGAAAGGAGATTCTGCTAAGGATGTAAAACCCATCATGTGTTGTATATTCAGAGATGCTCAACAACATTAACGATAAACTTATATGAAATTCACTGTGGATGGTTGAGCAATTTTAGGCTGTTGGTCGAAGCTTTTGTTTAATGACTATAACATGTTATGGAAGATGTCAATAAAATCCTTCAAGGAATTAGCTGTTACTTAAAACCTTTTTTTTTTTATGAATGTAGCTAGTGATGGAAGATGTTGGATCGAGTCTCCCCGGGATTCATTAAGCCCAAAATGAGGTGTCAGAGATGTTCTCCATTTCTCAAGACTGGGGTGTATGTCTCAAAGGACAATACGTTTTCATGAAAATATAATTGTAGTTATACTCAAGGAAAATGTTTAGCATCTCATTAGTTGCTGCTTTTGAATCTTTTGCCCCTAGCAGGGGCTTTTTCCACACAAACTTGTAAAGCAACCCATGTATCGAGCCTTCAAGAGATTCACTTCTTGATCTAGTTGAAGAGGAACTTTAGTATAGTGAGGGGCACTGATAAATTGATATTGGTGACAAGGATTACCCGCAACCTAGGTACAGTTTTCAATGATTTTTTGTCTGAATAAAATGCGGGATGACTATTCTACTACAATCGTGCCTGAGGGCGTTAGCGTAAATGACATTTTGATGCAAGAAGACAACCTCACTACAATCATTATTGGGACGTTGACGTGAATGACCTTTCGATATTACAGTGAATGTTACTCCCCACATCAAAGAATGCTCAAAGATGATCTTTAAAATGCAAAGGAGGTTCCTTCGCTAATTGTATGATGTGTATCACTTGGAAATAAAGAAGAGGCTCAGCGTCTTTAAGTTCAAGACAGTGTCGGCCTGTGCTTCGTTTCTCACAAACGGCGCCTAGCTGATGCGTAATAGAAAATTTGTCACAATAGAGTAATGTATTATCATCTTAGCATGATACAAATATTTAACTCACACTTAGAAGAGAGAAAATATTTTTTACATGAAAAGCCGTAAAGGGAAAAACCCCGGTTGAAGAGTTCCACAATAAATAAAAATTACAGTTGCAACCACTTCTCTCATAGACGAGAAAAGTTTAGACGACCTCCCAAGTTACAATATTGACGTACAGACAAACTTGTTGGAAGGAACAAAAAGAGAACGATAGCAATCGACAACGATCGACAGGTGGCGGTCAACTGTGGTAAACGATGGTTGACAGTGGTCGATGACGAAAGTGGTGTTGGACTTCTGCTCTTCTAAAAGCCTCAAGCTCTTCTTCCATTTCTTAAGAGAGGGGTGGGGTTGTATTTATAGAGTTTAAGATGCAATTAATGCAGAATTATGAATCACTTTGATCAAACAGACCTGAAAACTTCCTAATCACATGAAGTTTGAATAATCAGATCTTTGGAATGACTACTAGTTATGGTTGGGTCAAGTCTTACAAAACAGTGTCTCATTTGCTTGGTTGGTTCTCTTCTTTCATGAAGGCTTTGACAGATCTTGTTACTGCATTCGCAAGGTAACCGGAGAGACTCGTTGCTGGAGAGATTTGCGACGTACTCTTCGCAGAATATGTCGTTGTAAAGTAGAGAACCACCTACATAGCTTTTACTTGTTTTGAGTTTAGTGTCAAGACTTTTTTATGCCTGACACTGAGGGTCGGTAGTTTGCTCGCCTCAGAGGGGTGACCTATATTTCCTCCTTCAGATTCTGGTTCTCTAAATCTCACATGTGTACTCTTCGAGTGCTCCCAGTGTCAGTTGGATCTGTGTAAAACATAAATAGAAGAGTTTATATATATATATATA